CGTGGCCGTGGTTTCCATCCACGTCAGGAGCCTTTTCAATCTCATCAAAGCACTTGACAGTTTACTGCCCAGGCAAAGGTTGCAGTTCCGCAGTTTTATAGAATTATTAAGTAAGCAATTATGATAACCCACTGTTTTAAAGATAATAGGGCGATAAGGTTCTGCCAAACTCGCACCATAGTTTGCCCTCACGCTGCTCTTCCTGAGGAGAAAATCAATACCTTTTGCACTCTTTCGAAACTTTGCTCTCCAGACTCGCCGCCGGATGTTTGTTCTGCCCGTGGAGGGTTAAAAAAGTTCCAGATGTTCCGCAGAGAGTAAAAATAAAATTTAAAAAAATAGTCTGAAATAACAAGCGGCACGTTGTAATGACCCTGCTCGCTGGTGGCATTTTATCAAAGCTCATAAACCTTGAATGACTATATATTGATAAAGACTGTTTAAAGTGTCATTGGAACGATAACATTTGCACTGTAAATGTGGCTCGCAGGCTCCAGCCTCCAATTGTGCTGCGATGATAAGGACGGCACCCAGTCGGATACGAGCAATGGGTCAAAAGCCACCGAATATTTGGTTTGGGGACGATGACGGAAGCTTTTTATTTTATTTAGTGATGTCAGGTTTGGATATTCTGTCCTCTAAACACCAAACTGGGAACTTGGTGCACAACTTAGAACCACCGTCCTGCTGCTACACCCTGATTTTATGGTTTGAACAAGCGAAATGCATTTAAAAATATAATTCTAAGCACAAGAAGTTGGTTTAAAATTGTAATAAAGACACACTTTCTGCTCATCAACCTCGTCCACACTCTCTGACTGTAGTTTCACTGTTTGTGTTAATCGTCTCCCTCCACATGCATAAACAACAACCGGCCGCCGTCGAGAGAGAGACAGACGAGTGGTTTGACACTTTGCCCAGGTCAATATCAATAAAGCAATCAGCGTGTCAGGGGCCTGGATGTTTTGAGGAGGGACCTGTGGGAGCGTTTATGGCTTTACTGTGGGAGGTGGGGCCGCTGCCTTCAGGTACACCCACCCGCAGAAACACACCGAATCTCACGGAAGATTCAGAGTGGAAGATTTACAGGACAAACACACACCCGCATGCACACATTAATTAATCCCCTGCAGACTGATTTGAGCTAAGACAAAAAACATGGTGACAGTTTAGCTTCTTGTGGACGTCAACAGCTCCTAAAAATGGTCTGAAAATAACTGGCGAGGCCCCTCCCTTCTCCTCTGGCCCTCCAAGAGTTTGTCCAGACAGCCAGATTGCACTTTGCTCGGCCTCACCATAAACTAAGACAATAAATTCAGACAGCAGACTCCTGAACTGGATGACATGAGAGAGCAGGAGAGGGAGCGAGGAACCTTCAGACCGTCACAGATCAATTCCTCCAACATGGCAGGAAGGCCCGAGTGGCCCAAACAGACGGATGAAAGCTCCTCTGCCTCTCTCTGTGTGATCTGTGTGGGCCGGCTGAATCATGGAAGAATTGATTTCTGCTGCAAAAAAAAAAGAAAAGAAAAGGCACTGACATTGAGAATTTTGAAGTCTGAAATGTTCAAATACTCTGAGAAATGTGCAGGTGGCGACGACTCAAGGTCCAATAAGTCTGCTGTCTCTTCTGTTGGGCAAAAGTATGCCGGGACCGCGTCAATCAATACGCTATCTTATGGACAATAACTTTCTGTTTTCATGCTGAGACCCTGTATTACCTTCACCTCCTGCTCTGGAGGTTTGCTCAGACACTTTAATGACACATCTCCATGCTGTTCATTCAGCAGGGATCTCAGCATGTTCCACACCCAGGAGTCACCGTGGAGGCCACAGCGAGGGTTTAGAACCCACAGAACAACCTCTAGATGAAGAACAGAGTCTACCCGAGCTGTCACACCAGAATAGAAGCCGTGAGTAAGTGTCGTATTGTTAATGTTGTCGTCCTCGGCGCCACAATTACAGGTTTATTTATGACAGCGGAGGCCCGCGGTGCTCAGCCGTTGGGTGTACTGCCACCTTGTGATGTGCTCTGAACCCTGCATGCCAGAAGCCCGCCGTCGCAGCTTCGCTTCACAGGAAATGTGCACAGAATAGATTCATTTCCATCAGGTCAGAGCTTCAGAACCAAGGGCAAAGCCTGAGGGGGAGGGAGGAGGGGAGGCTGACACGGACCTGCCTCCCCTGCGGCATGCCGAGTCCGCCAACAGATGGATGTCACTGACCCTTCTCGGCGATCACAGCCCAGACTCGAAGCAGGGCTGGTGTCACTTTTCCCGATCGCGGGGTTCAATTCGTCTCTATCTGCTGCTCAGTGGAGCCTGCAGTGCCGGGCCACCATCACACACACTCCGCAGGGCAGCGAGTGGATTAGCCGACCCCCCGGTGTGGGAGCAACAGCCCCTGCAGTCCAGTCAGCAAACACTGCAGCCTTCACGCAAGCTGTGGGCGAGGCGGTCGGGGATGCTCCACAGGATCAGGCCGGGGAGGCGGGGAGGGGGAGATAGCGGCGTCTCCGGCACCCTGACGGTCAGTCGGCATGGCAGCGAGGGTCTGCAGTCAGTCACAGTGACGGACAGGCAGTCAGACACCCAAACATTGTTGAACATCTCAAACCAAGAGACCAGTTTCTAAAATACCGTCTTCAGTCCCGTGTAGGGTGACCAGACGTCCTGTTTTCTCAGCACACATCCTGTCCTGGACGTCCTGGTTGCTTTTTATACAGTGATGAAGATGTCCTGGTCCTGTCCTGGAGGAGGCACACTTTAAATGTATGGAAACTATACAGCATCTTAGAGCAAACTTCCAGCATCACTGGAGTATCTCAGTGCCGGGCCAGAATATGGTCGCCCTGCTGTTGTGCAAAGAGCTTTGCAAGATTTTGGAGGTCAGAAAGCAGAGCAGCAAGGCCTGGCTTCACCACTGATTCAAGCTCCTCTGAGAGCTCAAGTTGCCTCCTACCAGAAAAATGATTCCTTTATGGGCCTTAGTGTGCACAGAACTTTACATTAATATATGTTGTGACACACTTAACCCTGTTCAGGACGTTCATGTTGCCAGACGTAGACGGGCTTTCTGGGTCCCAAGAAAGAATATGTGCAAAATATTTGTTGGTATTAATTATAGACTTTTATACTGTTAAATATATTTTCTGATAAGTTATTTTTGGTTCCAAATGCATGACAATTATCCCTCTTTTTATATTTTAAAAAAACAAAACAATACCTGTCACCTAAACCAAAAGTCCTGAACAGGGTTAACTTACTAAAAAAAAAGGCCCATAAACATCCGCTTCATATAAAACAAGAAACAAGAAACAAGAATGTGTTTTCATTCCTTCGCTTTCGTTGTTAATCAGAAAAAAATCTTGTGTCAGTTTTGTCCGACCATAAATGGAAAAAAAGTCACTTTTCATCACGTATGCATGAACTATGACAGAAATCCTCGACACAGAGCGTGTTGGTGACCAAAAATAGGCAATATTTAATGAAATCCTATCTGTAGCTCCAACACGCCGACTTTCTACAGAAGAAAGGACGTCTTCCATGGAAGAGCAGATCAGACACTACACGTCAGGAACAAGTCACACAGAGTTAGGATGTTGTTCGACTCTTCCTGAACAGTTTTGGGGAATTAGGTTTCAGCTTACGACAACAAGTGATATGCCAGCGTCTTGTGTTTCTCAGTGAAGCAGCATTTTTTAATTTAATTCTGGTCAAAGGAGTGTTTGTGTACCGATCTCGCTCCCTGATAACTGCCCCTGAAAGCCACACCTGCCCCGGCTGTGGATTCATTCAGTGGGTGAGAATTTACAGGATCGACAGTCCTCAGATATAAACTGTGGCCTAAAAGAGGATTTATTGTTTAGATTTAAGTTGATGAAGTTGAAGTGGGGGCTGCAAGGTGGATCAGTGGTTAGCACCGTCGCCTCACAGCTAGAAGGTCGCCGGTTGGCGTCCCGGTGAGGACACCCGGGATCTTTCTGCGTGGAGTCTCCATGTTCTCTCCGTGCAGCGTGGGTTCTCTCCGGGTTCTCCGGCTTCCTCCCACAGTCCAGAAACATGCTGAGGTTAATTGGTGATTGTAAATTGTCCGTAGGTGTGAATGTGAGTGTGCTTGGTTGTCTGTCTCTAAGTGTAGCCCCGTGATAGACTGGTTACCTGTCCAGGTGAACCTGCCTTCACCCTGAGTCAGCTGGGATAGACTCCAGCCCCCCTGGTGAGGATTAAGGTGTAGAGATGATGGATGGATGGATGTTGACAAAGCCGTCCACATACTTTTGGTCATCTATTGTACGACACTGTAACTGGTGAACCTCATGAGAGCCTCTTTTTTAAAAAAAGCATGTAGTTGAGTATAAAATGACGAAGCACCCCAGACATCTGATGGGACACCAGCTGTCCAGGCCTCATGCCAAGTCACAGAGATGTGAGCCGGTATAAAAAGTCTCGTGTACGGTGGTGCACTGACAAGAGTGAGAGGATGACAGCATGATGAATGCCTCGCTATAAGCAGCTGTGTGCCGCTGCTGCATCTGAGACAAGCCCGAAGATGTCCAGGTTATGAATGGACTAGTCAATGAGGTAGAACATAAATGGCCTTTGGTCATAATTTCTTAGTGCTCTGGAGATGCCTTGTGAGACGTCCCGCTGTCACGCCGCTCACCGGAGAAGATGCATCACTCTATTTGGGGCTCTCTCATCTCTCCTGAGTGTTTTTTTTTTTACTGTTTGCTCTTTTCATTCTCTCCCTCTCTGATTAGCATAGCTGACCTATCACACGCTGGTGCTGAGTCATTATTAGGTGTTAGCATTTTCAATTACCCCACACCTCCCTCCCTGCCCTCCCGTCTCCTCTGCCAGGCAGACACTGCACAGCAGGACAAAAGCAACAAAATGCTAATTTTCTGCCTAAAAGAAGGCGACAACGTGTGAGCCCGACCTGAAACAACAAACTAATGAGCAATTCAACAGGAGAAGAAACCAGAACAAACGGCGTGCTGAATGTCTCACGGTTCATTTAGAACTTTATTTCCGCTATATGGTTGTTTTAAAAGCACTTATTAGCAATACAGACCGAACGTTTTTTGAATGATACATGTCGTACTGCATATGTCAAACATTCATGCCAAAGAAAATACTACCGATACGCTTCTAACAGGACAGTTACAGGTATTGAAAATAAAGTAGAAAATAGGCTTTTTCATAACAACCATAACAAGACAACACTACCATAAAGCGTATTAGTGCTTCTAGCTTAAAGTGTTATCGTGATCAGTGAAAAGAATCAAAACTGTACTCAAAAGTTGCTTTCAGTTCTAGAAAAAAAAACAAAAAACGAAACAAACACAATGCTTGTATGCGGTTGCAAATTCCCACATAGCGGAGCAAGCTAGCCACTTTGCTGAGTCTCCAAATAGGCAACTGCCTTTTTAAAAAAAAGGCAAGGCAAGTTCTGTCTTTAAAAAAACATTAGCTTTCCTCCCAAATAAAACACTGGCTGAAAAAAAGATACTCGACAATTTCAAACGACAAAATGTGTTTTTTCCATTTCACAAATGAGCGAGTTAGGCGCACGGAGACCTACTGCAGAGAAAAATGCTTCTACCGATGATTGCTAGAAAGCTATTGCCAACAAAAACATCACAAACGTATTTCAACATGAACATCAGAGCAGAATGTTTGAGAGACTTTGAGGCTACATAGTAGGAAGGCAGTGATACCTATAAATCCTATCGTCTGGGCAGCAATACAAAATAATTTATTCTACATTTTCATCTTAAGTGTTCTAATAGATTGTACTCTCTAGCTCCATAAATGTTGATTTTCGAGAAAAGGAAATACACTTAAATTAAAAAATAAAAGTAATACAAGATAAAGAGCACCTTATCCCCAAACAAGTTATTTAACAAGTCGATTTTTGGAAGCAAATGGCACAGAGTCATCAATGGTAAATTAGCAATGCTCGTTGAATTGTACAGTTTTTTGTTTTTTTTTTGTCAGAAAATACCACCGAGTCTCAACAGTTTAACATCAAGTTGTGACGAGATACTAAATAATGCTTGCATCGTACGGGTCGGCGTGTGGAACAACACGGTTTACACGAGGGGGGCAGAAGCTGAATGTCTTGAATCCCGACGCGGCGGCTCTTAAATCTGGGCGTCGCCGTCGGTGATCAGAGCGTAGTGTGCTACCTGGCAGTCAGGCTACGATATCTGGGTTTCGTCACTGAGCTGAAGCGGACCTCCGAAGTCAGCGCAGAAAAAAAAAACGCTTTGACCCTGACTCATCTTTTCTAGTGCAAAACTGCCAACATTTGGTCTTGGACTGCTCGGACAGTTGGCGTTACAGTGTCAAACAGCCCGACTGGACGCGGAGATGAAACGCCTTGAAAACGGTGCAAACAGTAACGTGTCTCAAACTTCTCATACTGACGTGAAAAATTAAGTACTTAAAATCCACACCTGGAGCTTCCGATACCAATACACTTGCATAAAGATTTACAAATACAATAAAACTTGACTGCAGCTGGCACCGACTGCGACAGATGCATGAGAACTTTACATAAAAAAAAAACGGTAACAGACCGACCTCGGCTCCCCCACACGTCTACGGTTGCTGACAGAAAATCCAGAGATGGGATTCACCTCTTAAGTTCATATCCAAGAATCTGAACCTCAGACTCAAAGAGAGAAGAAAAAAGTCAAATAAAAAACAGGATGGTGGGAAAACAAAAGGCAGGGAGGGGAGGAAAAAAAAACGTCGGTGAAGCAGGCATCTCTGTGGCTGCGCTGAGGACACACCACGACAGAACAGCAAAGTTGATTAAAGTCAGTTTTTTCTTTCCCTTGTTTTGTAACAGAACTTCCACCTGAACACAATGAACCTGTTAAGAGAGTATTCGTGGTGCAGAGTAAGACATGGCTGGCTGACTGGGGTGCTGTGAGGATGGCAGCAGCTGGTGTGGATGTGGCGTTGCGGGCGTGGTCAGTGTGGGCGTTAGGAGAACAGAGAGTCCGTCAGGAAGGCTCTAGTACAGGAGGATGCGGCGCTCGATGGCCTTGCGGCAGATGGGGCACTCGCTCATCCTGTCCCCGCACAGCTGGCAGGTGCCATGGCCGCACATGAAGATCATGTTCTTCAGCCGGTCCAGACACACCGGACACATGGTCTGCAGACAGATGAAGAGGAGCAATCAGAGTTCACGCTGTGCTGTTGGCATTCAAGTCATTTCAACTTTTAAACAACAGGACTGTGGTTTCATGCCTCCTCCAACCAGTCGAGATGCAGATGTCATCATCTCTCCTTCTCCTGCATAAAACATACAGCTGAAACCAGAAGTTTACATCCACCGTATAAAAAGACTTTTAGTCTCACTGTCTGACATTAAATCAGACTAAACTTTTCCTGTTTCAGCTCAGTCAGGATCACCAACATTATTTCTATTTGCTAAACACCAGAATAATGAGAGAGAGGATTTGTTATTGTGATTTCTTTCTGACCTAAAACAGGAAAAGTTTAGTCTGATTTAATGTCAGATATGTGAGGAAACAAAAGGTTTTATGTCTTTTTATACAGCGGATGTAAACGTCTGGTTTCAGCTGCAGTGTTGAGTAACAGATGTGGCAATGAAGCTGACCTTTAAAGTTTCAGATGTAAATTGTCAGCACTTTATCGTTTTGTTGGATATTTGCTGAAAACTTTGTGATAACTGGCAACAAAATCATATCAATGTGAACCAAATTTGTCCTCGGGAGATATCACCAAAATGCTCAACCTGCTTTCACTGGCACTAAAACACAGAATCACCCCTAAGACACGAGAACTTTCTAACATACAACTGATGTCAAACAGTTTAAACCACTGGTCACTAGCTTGAGGTTCAGTTCTGTTCCTTCGGTGGTGGATGAACGTGGGCTCACCTGCTCCTTGATGTCCTGAAGCTGCTGCTGTAGCTTCTGTACGTCAGCGTTGACGTTGGTGTTGTCTTTGTCTCTCTGCAGGGCCGGGATGTTTCCACTGGCTGCTCGGACATAAGACAACACAAACACATGTTGAGGGGACGAAAGAAAAAAAGAGTCAGTTACCAACCTAAAGATTAAACAGAAAAACAATGAGTTGTGCACCGACGGTCACCTCAGACTTCATCTCTAAACTATGAACCTAACAGAAATATCTGCTGCGGTTCTGAAACAAGCCGAGCGCTCAGCTACATGTAAAAGATGAGTTTTGTGAACGAGCAGGATCACAGACACATGCACTCTGAGTTGTATTGTTTGGCAGACTGGGGCTCTGGCAGTCTCCACTAGCTCACTTCTAAATGATTATATTTCAGAAAAGCACACTTGGTAATTATCTGGAAAGTAAACGGGCACAGGGCAAAACATCATGCGATGCCTCTGGCAGCGTACGAGCCGGCTGCATAATATCTGTGTGAAACTGACTGCGTGTATTATTTGAGCACTCAACGCGGATTTTCTGGACTGATGCCCTGCCGGGGACTCCGAGCTGGAGGATTGTCATATCCAAACATCTGCCAGATACAGTGAGCACCAGTGTGATTCTGGGGATGTGCATCATACATAAAACATCATCTAGCGTTTATGTTGTCGCTGAAAGAGAAAAGGAGGGAGTTAAGGGGAGGGGAGAGGGGCCAGGGCAGCACTGTGGGGGGGAGGGGGGCTCTTTCAAAACAAGGCTCTGATAAGGGAGGGGATCATGGAAGTATACTTACACCAACTTAGTGCCAGATTGTTGGGCTGGAGAAGATCCTGCGATCCCCCTGCCATAGTGTTAGAGCTCCCTGCTGGGAATAACCAGTCACAGTGTTATAGCAGGAGCTGCCTCTACCAGCTCCACGGCTGGCCTGATGACCAGAACTACTCACTACAGTGTCTTAAGGAAGGTCAGAGAAAGAATTTGAATAGGAAGCTGGAAAGTCGGAAACAGTGATCAGGGAGAGAATGGGAAACAGAGTTACTTCTATGCAGAACTGAGAGTCAAAAGCGGCAAGTGATTTTTGTTGCCATCAGCCAATGCTTAAGCATGAGACTAATGCCTGTGCTCGCTGGGTTACACGTTCACGTTTGAGTCCCGACCAGACAAGCGGGGAGTTGAAATAATCCAAGTGACAGGTGACAAATTTTGTGTTTTGCATTTTGAAACAGACGGCAACAGGCAGTGTTACTGGGATAAAAGGGAAAGAGATAAACATTCAATGCTGCCCCTTGCATGAGTGTATGTGCGCTCGGGTCAGCGTTCACTTTTGCACGTCGGCAAGTGAGATGCACTGACGCCGATGGAGAAGTTTAAAAAAAAAAAAACAAAAACAGATAATACAGGGGTAAACATGAAAGCTGTGAACTTACAACAGTTTCCCTTTTAACTCAACAGAAAATGTGGAAAACACGGGACGAGTAGCCGCTAGTGAGATGCAGCCACCGAAATAAGGACATGGGCGATAAAAAGGCTTCGAGACAAGATGATGGATGGTGAACGCATCCCAAAACAAACATATTTACACACTACATTACATCACGACTCATGTGGTACGTCCATGTGTGACACAATACTCTGAGTATAAACGATGACGACTCCTTTGCAGATGGAAAGATGCTCGCGGGGTGTTTAATTCCAAAGATGCTCTGTGTCCTCGTTCAGGAATTCCTTGTTATAATTCAGCGCTTTTACACATTCATGTGGGTATTAATATGCATGTATCATAAGAGCTGCTGGTCCTTTAGCATATGCTCACAAATAACTTCATCCATTTTATGCGAATGTGATTAGTCAAACTTTTGGAAGCCACAGAAACATGAACTAATCAGGTTACCTGTATACTCTGACATTATTGTGTTATTCAGCAATCTGGAAATGGCTTCTGAGATCCTCAGTAAAAAGATTATGATCCAAAACACAACATTTTTTTTCTTCTCTTTGGAAGATGTATGTCAGAGCATCAGCTGGTACCGAGAGCCAACATCTAAGTAGAAGGTGGTCCGGATCGCGTAATGATTAAAACATGCCGGATTTAGTCGTGGAAATTAGTTTGAGACGGACTGATTGATCCGCCCGACGTCTACGTGCAGTTTGAATAGTTTTCTAATGTGTCTAATAGGATGAAAAAACAACAACAAAACAACATAACAGTGATGCAAACAGAGGAAGTAAATGTGTAAGCGAGGCAGCGACAAAGCAAAAGATTAAAAAACAAAAAGGAGGATCAGAGCAGATATTTTGAAAAGAGTGAAGAAAATAAGGAAAGAAAAACTAAATAAAGGGGTGGATTAAAAGGGAACGTGTGGAAGATTCACTCACTAAGGTCATCATCATCATCATCATCATCATCATCAGCGGCATCATCCTCCATACCTTTCCCTCCACAGCAAAGGACGAAGGGGGTGCGGCGTTCCACCACAGCCCGGCACTGTACGCACTTCTTCATGAGGCTGGCACAGTCTGAGGAAGACAAACGCTCGGTCAACTCTCACGTACGCTTTATGCAAAAACTAAATAAACAAATGAAGCAAAACTCTGAGTAACTTACTCTCACAAGCGCACATGTGACCACAGGGCTGGAACAACACGGCGGCCTTTTTGTCGGAGCAGACTACGCACTCCTCGATCTGCGGAGGAGACAGATTAAAACACGATGAAAGAATCCAGCCAGTGTTCGGATTCGGATACGGATCGTAGCGGCGCTCCCGGTACCTTGGTTCGCGACTGGACCTGCTCTTTGCAGATGAGACACTTCTTGACGCGCGGCGAGCAGAGGGAGCAGGTGGCGATGTGTCCGCAGGGCCCGAACAGAGTGTCCCTCTTCATGTCGGAGCACACCATGCACTCCTCCAGCGACTCGATGTTGCTGTTCAGAGACGGGCTGCGGGTTCCCACCTGGCCGCTGCAACCATCACAACAGAACCACAGCGTGAGAGAGAGCAGACGAGGTTACGCGCAAAACGCCCCGACATGAAACATTTTCAGCAAAGAAAGTAAATCAATAAAATCATCTGATGATCGTCGTGGGCTGCGATCTCTTCTTCTGTTCTTAAAATCTCTTTCAGGTGCCGTTACAGTAGCTGTGGGCGTACGAGGATGCATGAAAGCCCCAGACGCACTCTTTGAAGTTCATCCTTGTAATGCCCTACGTGTAACACGACTTCTCAGAAGCATCTGATGAACGACGAACCTCGACAAATAAATGTGAATAAATAAATAAAATAGATGACCAAAGCAGTAAAAAAAACCCCACCAATGTCTGGTTTTAGCAGCTTGTGAGCACAGTTCTGTAAAACTAACAAACTGTCACCTCAGTTTTTAAACAGATTAAACACACAAGATGTTGATCATTGAGCTTTAGAGTCATAGGCAGGTGGACTCTTATGCCCCTGGCCTCACAGTTGCCCCTCGTTTACTCTCTTTATGCGAAGCTCAGCCCACCATCTCCTGGGTCCATCTTCATATTTACTGTACAGACGCGAGAGTGGTATCGATCCTTCGCCTCCAGTTCTCAGCAAGAAAGCAGGAATACGAGTGCATTTCCCAAAATGTCAAACAATTCCCCGGCATGTTTACCTGCTCTTTTCTTTGTGGCATTTGGCCAGAGCCTTGCAGAGGCTGGGGTCGGGACACAGGTCCAGAGGGGATTGGCCCTTTTTGTTACGAATGGTCAAGTCCGCTCCGTTGGCCGCCAGGAAGCAGGCGATGGACGCGGCGCTCTTCTTCTCCGCCCCCTGGGTGCCCAAGCCCATGATTAACTGTGGAGAGCCAGACAGACACACGGAGAGCAGATACAGTCAGAGACACGTCGGGCTTTTGACTTTTTGACACAAGAGATCACCTTTAAGTTGTGGGAACACACGAGCACGCGAACCACTAGTCATGATTTTAACTTTATGCAGATGTTGCATTCAGATGAACCACGTCAAAGTCCAGATCAGGTCCCTATAATTTAGCCAATCAAAGACATGCCTGAAGATGACTGTCAGGCAGTACAACCCCCTCACCCCCACCCAAAATCCCATTAAGTGTCCCGTCTCTCTCCCTCCCATAGCTCATCACCTCACTCAGTCTACCCCAATTCAAAGCATCTCTCTCTCTTACTCTCTCTCTCTCTCTCTCTAGCAATTTAGACCTTCCATGTCTGATTGTCTTCAACCAGTAGCTTTTACATCTCTGCTGATGGAGCCATCGGGCCGGCTAATTCAATTCTCGTTGTGAAGGGAGGGGAGAGCTATGGGAGAGTGACCCAACTGCACATATCTCAATTAGGCCTGCTGTCTGTCTGTTCCGCTCCTCCGCTGGGGAACCGGAGAGGGCAGAACGGGGGGATAGAAGAGGAGAGGCAGAGAACGGGAGGAAAAAGGAGTGGAAAGGAGACAGAAAGTGACAGGTACGGAGGGTCTGTTGCTGTAGCCGGGCCCTAAACTCTTCCCTGTAGGGATTAGTGATGTGGTGTTAACATGGAGGAGGTTCAGGTCTGACATGCCCCCTTTTGGCCTCTACAGAGGGACAAACTCATTCAAGCTGGTCAAAAGGCAGCAGGCCAGTTGACTGCTCCAGGCATCTATCTGGCTGCTGTCTGCATGATGGGCTGACTCGGTTGTCCAGCGATGCAGGTGATGGAGACTGGGGAGCACTGAGCTTCCTGACTTGATGTGATCTGTCCTCATTTTTCACACATCAGACAGCGGCCCACCTGCTGATGTTATTACAGGTGTGCGTGCAGGTACTAAAGTGTACTGCCACAAGACAACTCTGAACACGGATCAGGATCATGAAAGCAAAAAAGCAGTGACATGGCACTACAATGAGCCCTTCAGTAGGACAAAGCTAAATATAAAGAACAGCCTTGAGGTCGTCTAAAGTTCCTAATATGCCGCACGAGTATGCACGCATTGTTTAGCCAAATGTTATTTGGGAATGTCTGCTTTAATAACAACTGGATAATAACTTCCTTATTTCTGCAACTGACCTCCAGTGACCAGACTGAGCATTCTGATAACTGTACCTCAAGAGCACTGTTCACAATTATTGACCTTGATATTAAATAAAATCTAAAACTAAAATCCATCATCATTGCACATAGATGCATACAGCTGTAGCTAAAGTTGTGTTTCCAGTCATTAATTGCTCCATACACACATTTGTTTCATGTTTTGTGTGATGCCTAATGATACTGTAAGAAACCCTGACGCATACAGTTAAAACCAGAAGTTTACATTCACTGTATAAAAAGACAGAAAACCTTTTATTCTCACTGTCTGACATTAAATCAGACTAAACTTTTCCTGTTTCAGCTCAGTCAGGATCACCAACATTATTTCTATTTGCTAAACACCAGAATAAT